ACTCGCATGGCATCCAGTTGGAGGCTTTTCTCGCCTCTCGCCCCCCTCCATGCTTTAAATACGGGTACTCCCACCCATTTTAATCCTCGTACTCATACTCTCTTGCATCGATCTATCAGTCTGCTCTTCCTCCACTGCACTAGACTTCACCTAGTCTGTTCTACCGGACTTACATGACAGCGATCATTTTCCTAGCATTCTTACTTCACCTTCCTATTCACCACCTTTCCGTACCCCTCGCTGGCAATTTGATCGGGCAAATTGGGACCTATACTCGAAACTCACTGCTTTTAGTGAGGTTCCTTCTTCATCCTCCATTGATGAGCTCCTACACCTCTTCTCAACGTCAGTTTATGCTGCAGCTTCTCATTCTATACCCCAAATTTCAGGCAGGCGTTCTCAGAAGTGCGTGCCTTGGTGGTCTCCTGCTTGTGCTCATGCAGTACATTTGAAACGCGCTGCATGGGGCAGGTACTGGTACAGTAGAACCGATGAGAGACTTCTTGATTTTAAGCAGAAGCGTGCCATCGCTCGCCATGTCATCCGTGACGCTAAACGCACTTGTTGGCGAGACTGTTTCCACCATCACCTCTGCTTCCTCTGAGTGCAGTCTGGAAAAAAGTGAGGAAATTGAGTGGTAAATACTCTCCTGACCAGGCTCCTGTTCTATGGGTCGCTGGTGTTGATGTAGCAAACCCTCTTGACGTTGTCATTGAAATTGGCACTCATCTGGTCCGTATTTCCTGGGGGCTCCATCTATGCCCCTCGTTTCTTTCCTCAAAGACTGCCAGAGAGTTAGTACCCTTGGACTTTTCTTCTCTCAGAGAAGAACAGTATAATATACCTTTTACACTTCAGGAACTGGAGGCAACACTCTCAGCTTGCCGAAACATCGGCAGCTGGGGCCCGCGACATTCATATTCGTATGTTACAACATTTACATCAATCGGCCCTTGTAGTCCTCTTACAAACCCCTTCAATCTTATTTTGGGCACAAGGAAATTCTTCCCCAGTTGTGGAAATCTGCCATTGTTCTCCTTTCCCCAAGCCGGGTACTAAAGGGGCATATGCCCCCCATATCGTCCCCTCCTCTAACTGTTCAGTTTGCAAAAATGATGGAACGTCTCGTAAATCGACGTTTAAAAGTGCATTTAAGAGACAACAGTCTCTCCGCAGTCAACATGGCTTTCGTAAAGGGCCGTTCTACATAGACCCCTTACTACCTTTTTATACGTATTGAATGCCCTTTGCGAATAAAACACTCGGTTATTGCCTATTTTTTGACCTTGAGAAGGCATATGACACAACTTGGAGGTATAATATTTTGGCCCAGGCCCACTCCTTAGGCCTCCGAGGCAATCTCCCATCCTTCCTTAAGATCTTTTTAACTGACAGACATTTCCGTGTTCGAGTCAATAATGTGCTTTCCCCAGACTTCATCCAAGCTGAAGGAGTCCCTCAGGGATGTGTTCTGAGCACAAAGCTTTTTCTCCTTGCTATAAATGATTTGGCCTCTGTTCTTCCACCCAGTATTTGGTCATCACTCGATGTTGATGACTTCGCTATTGCTTGTGTAGGCGCTGACTGTCATCTTATTGCCGTTTCTCTCTAGCATGCGGTCGACTGTGTTTCCACTTGGGCCACCACGCATGGGTTTAAATTTTCCAGTACCAAAACTCTCCAGATTACTTTCACTAGACGCTCTGTCATCTCCGATCATCCTTTGTATCTCTATGGCTCCCGTATCCCCGAACGTGATAGTCGGGTTTCTAGGCCTTCTCTTTGACTGTCGGTTATCCTGGAAACCTCACATTACCTCTCTGAAGGCAACTTGTCACAGCCGGCTAAACCTTCTTAAAACCCTCGCTCATCTTTCATGGGGAGCTGATAGTCGAACCCTCCTTCGCCTACATTCCACCCTCATTTTATCGAAACTTGATTATGGTGACCAGATCTATTCAGCGGGATCTCCTGCTACTCTCTCTAGCCTTAACCCCATTCATTACCAAGGATTACGTTTATGCCTTGGTGCTTTTCGCTCTTTCCCTGTCGAGAGCCTCTATGCAGAAGCAAACGTTCCATCCTTATCCGATTGCCGTGATGCCCATTGCCTTCGCTACTATGTATGCTCTCATGATCTCTGCAATCCTTCCATTTATAGAATGGTCACTGATATTAGTAGACATTATTTATTTGTTCGCCGCCCCTGTTTACTCCGTCTCTTCTCTCTTCGCCTTCATTTGCTCTTGTCTTCTCTTCAGTTACCACCTTTCTATGTTCATGTAGCATCTCACTTTTCCCTACCCCCCTGGGAAGTTCCAGCTGTTCGAGTCTGTTCTTTCTCTCCCTTGCTCGAAAGCCCAACTGTCTACGGTCGCTTCCCGCTCTCTTTTTCTTGACCACTTTCACTCTCGTGCCATTGCTGTGTACACAGATGGCGCCGTCTTCTGACGGCGTAGGATTCGCAGCAGTGTTTCCGGACAGCGTCGTACAAGGGCATTTACTATCTTCGGCTAGTATTTTTACTGCTGAATTGTATGCCATCCTTACAGCACTTATCCGTATTGCATCTATGCCTGTGTCATCATTTGTGGTTGTCTCACTCCCTTAGTGCTTTACAGGCTATACAGAAATTTGCTACACCTCGCCCCTTAGTCCTCCGTATCCAACTTTGGCTATGCCGCATCTTTACCAAGCATAAAGATAGTTTTTTGTTGGGTCCCTGGGCATGTTGACGTACAGGGCAATGAACAGGCAGACACTGCTGCGCGGTCAGCAGTACATGACCTACCAGTTTCGTATAGAGGTATTCCATTTACGGACTATTTTGCTGTAATATCTTCCCACCTTCACACCCGTTGGCAACAACGTTGGTCTACTATGCTCGGCAACAAACTTCAATCTATTAAACCGAGTATAGGTTACTGGCCGTCTTCTTATCACCAGTGTCGAGGTTGGGAGACTACTCTCTCCCGTCTTCGCATTGGCCATACTAGTCTTACTCATGGATATCTCGTGGAGAGGCGCCCTGCTCCTCTCTGTGAGTATTGCCAAGCTCCATTATCAGTCAGCCACATTCTGTTGGACTGCCCACTTTATCAACGAGCACGCAGAATTTACCTCCGTCGTCTTCGCTCCGCTGCTCTCTTTACCTTCCCTTCTCTGATGGACCCACCTTTCATCCAGACACTCTCATTGACTTTTTAACTGACTGACTTCACAAATTCTGATAACTTCAGCCCTTTCTACTTCAATCTTTTGCCACCCTCAACCCCCGTACTATCCCCTGCCCCGCTGTTTTCTGTAACCTACTGATTATCCCTCCTCCCTTTTGCCATCCAATACCCTCGCTTCCTTCCCTACCCTGCAGCGCTGTATAGCCCTTGTGGCTTAGCGCTTCTTTTTTATTATAATAATAATAATAATAATATGCATCATCCGGAAAAAGCTTGGAAAGATAAATATTATTGGTACTATTGCTGGACCTTCTGACCCCCCCCCCCCTGTTCTGCAGCTGTCAGACACTCTCCGAATCCTTTGGACAGTTCTCGATATATTCCAGGTGCAATCCTGGACTGGCCATCTGATAATTGGCAAATTCTAGAAAACCTCTCGCGAACACTAACATACTGTGCATATGCTATTGAAATAAATATATGATCTCCATTGATTAGGGCCCATCACGAAATTCGTAAATTTATTTACGCCAGAGTAAACGCCGTCGGCCAAGTGCTTCAAATCAACCAGATTCTCGTCTGGGATATTTATTTCAACCCCATTTGTCTATATTTCTGGAATAAATGCCTAACACTAAGGATGAGAGGTGAATGACCGACCTTTAATAAAGGCTAGCTTATCTCATGAAAGGGAATTCTGGGACACTCCCTCACTTACCACCTGGCCAAAGAAATTTCCAAATTATTTATGGACGCCTTTAGGGTCGTCTCACAGGACCGAGAAGTATATAAAAGCCTGGATTCTGCAGACACAATGGAAGAATAGTCGTTTCACGTAATCAGTCCCTCAGCCAAGAGTCCTTGTTCGGTTCATCTATCTTTATAACGGTGCAGCATATGTCTGCAGTATACAAACCTCATCTCCAGTTTCTCTGATTGCCTCAAAAGCATCTTCCAGTTTTTCTGCACTGGACTGAAGCCACTGGCTGGCGAAACCTTTCCAAAATAATTCCCAAGAATTGTGGGTCATCGCCTGATAGTCTGCTGAGTATAAGTCCATTTTGGATATTCGAGATGGAGATTGCTTTACTCAGCCTCTTGGAGCCTTTCTTGGCTACTTTGGTGCCCTTTCTCTTTCTAGTAGTCAGCGCTCAATATATCTAATTAAACTGGAAACTTGCTGCCACCAGCACCATACAATCTGGAGGTCATTAGCAAAGTAAATGCCTGGACTCCTGTCCTCCCCCCCCCCTTCCCCTCGAGAGCTGGGCACAAACTTCTGTAAAGCATTTCCTTGCCTGATTCAATGCAACGGGACTAAACCAGTATAGAAATGGAATGTATGAAATAAATTTAAAATTAAATGGCAACAAGTAAATATTTAAACATTAAATACGACACCACCCTCAGTGATACAAGAGACCTCTATTTTGATCTGGAAGGGTAATAGGAACTTAGCTGTCGTCCATTCATTCTCTTACACAGTTAAGGCGAGGGAGTGATGAAAGTTGAGATGTGAGAGAGAACTGTGCCTTTTGAGCGTTTGACTTAACTGTTTATATAGATTTATAAGCTCCTTTATTAGTGATTTAAGGTTTTTCTATTTTGTAAATTTAAATTTTGACCTGATTAGTTCCTTTGGCCTTTCAATTCTCGGTTGCCTCAATGATTTAATTTTCCTGCATAGTCATTAGAAAGCTTAATTACCATGAACTATTTACAGTAATCTTGCTTCATAATAAATGTAGTGAATAAATTAATCTAATTCGTGCATAGTTACTTTTATTTCTTGTGATAACCTTTAATGCGTGGTTGTGTGCGCAGCCCCGGCAGCCACGTAGACTGACGATCCTCTCCTGAAGTAAATGGTGTAAACATGGCCAGACCCTGGATGCTGCATTCCATTCTGGCCTGCTGTCTAGTGTACCTTCACGCCTCTTCGGCCTCTACCCTGAACACTATATACAGGTGAGCTTGAAGCTTCCACTTCCTCTCCACCCTCAACACTAAAATTACAGGTGAACCCGAAGGTATCTACACTCAACACTACTCTACAGAATTATAAGCTCAAGGCAAACGCTCTTTGCCCCCTCAGCACACCACTTAATAGGTGAGCCCAAGGGTAATAGTCTCTGCTAGCCCTCAACACTAATGCTCAGATAAGATTTAAACTTTCCCTTAGTCCCTCACCTTCTGAACCAAAGGTACCTTCAGACTTCACCCCTTGGCTCTGCCTGGTTATTTAATGGTGGACATAAGTAATATCCTAAAGTTAAATCTTTTAAGTGGCCTGAGTGAAAATCTACTTTGGTCAAGCTACCTGTTGCTTCCGGGTTTGCCTGTTATCTTTTTCTTAATCTTGTATTGAGGTTCACACTAAGCTCTTAAGAGGTGCTAATTAATATGTATAATGTCGTAAACATTCCCTTCATGCGTGGTCGTGCCTAAATGCTGGTGAAAGGCTATTGACCAGAGAAATTGATACTACCTTCCTTCCTTGCATCAAACTTAATTGCCTCCCCTTTCGTAGGTGCTGTAAAGCCCTTAGAGGTTTAGCGCCAGCCCATAAAAATATTCATTATCAAATATGATAGTTTAGTCTTATTTCCCAAGCTAGTTGTGACTCCTGTGGTACAGTGCTTTTCCTTAGATAAGTAAAGTGATTACCATTACAAGTCTTCTTGCTTAGGAACCATGTTGGCTAATTTGGTAACACCTGGAAGTGAAATATTAGTAAGGCTGTTAATTATTTTAGAAAGTGACTGAAAATACAGAAAATTGTATAAGATATAAATTAACTTCTGTGACAAACTAGGGGGGGGGGTATGCCTGGTTAAGAGCTATAATTCAATAAATGGGCAACATCTTCGCCTATGGATGAAATCCGTCTCATTCCTGGGCCAAGCGGTGTAAACCCTTCGGGTCTAGCACGCTCTCCTATGTATTTATAATGTAGAAAGCTGCTCTTGCAGTGCGTGATCTTGAACTTCTAAAAATACAGCACACACTATTCAAATGACATTAACGAAAGCCTTAGCCGTGTAGATTACAAACTTGTGTTGTCGGAACTTAAATTTTTAGCTATAATGTATATTGTATTTTGAATTGTAGTCACAATGAATCGAGAGCATCTTCGTCCGGCTGGCTGAGCGATGTTGACTGGAGGAACACTTCGCTGGCTGGTGACGCTGCAGCAGCAATCGACAGCACAGCAGCTTTGAGCGAGGCACTTGCCTCGATTTGGGACAAGGTCCGTCGACCTTTTGTTCTCCAGGACACCGCACCAAATGTGGGTGAGTATTGAGAGATGCCGAAAGTAAGCTGTATGTGTATAGGAAAGAACGATGGTGGGAGGCGGAGAGATGCTGGGAGAAATATTAATATTGAGGGGATAAGCTGGAAGAGATTTAGATGAATATTTAAAAATTTTCATCTGAAGTGGATGATTGTGCACTAAATAATCCTGGAAAAAAAATAGCACGAAAAACTTAGTTTCAATGAACCACTACTTAGTGGACATTTGATTATGTAAATGGTACAAATAGAACAAATGATTCAAAACATGCCAGTGTAATTATGTACACTGATTCAAAGTGCAAACAAAATTTGCTGCTAATACTTAGGTCTGTCCAGGATGGACCATTCTATAGCGCTGACAGCATAATTTAGTTTGTTTACGGAAAACACAATTTTGACACCATCAACCGGGTAACTAATTTTACACCGAAAATTGCAACCAATACTGTTCCAAATGTATAAAAAAAAACTGAAAATAGCGTATGGAGGTAGTTTTATCAGTGAGGCTGAGACCATTGTGGTAATGGTTACACCGGATGTCGCAGGATCCATTAAATTTGCTTCTGAGCGCACTAGTCAGAGGATGCCTGGATTCTGGTAAACCATTCTTGTTAAAGATAGATTCATTTCATCTTAAAGCTGATTAGCTTCTATTCCCTAGATGTTACATAAGGGTTTAGCGCTTTCCCTATGAATATAAACTGAGCGAATTACACGACAGTTTCCACTGACCCTAAATCATTCCTTCCTCTCACTTGATGCATGTACTGGCGTCCCAGTGACGTCTCGAGTACAGCTAATGGTGGAATCATTCACAGTTTCCACGGCTTCAATTTTCAGCTTTAGCCGACGATTTTTAAAATTGCCAGTTTACATGTACGAGCTTAGATTTCTTTGAACATTGCTTTTAAATGTAGAACATTGTCTTGGTATTTTTCAATTTATAACAAGTTTTCAGTGTAAGTTAAGGGTCCCCGTGGTAATAGACCACAAATTATTTTTTACTAGGCTCGTTGGAACAAATTTACATAACACTAACCGACCTCCTATTATACATTATCACTAAAACATTTACCCCTTTTAAGCTGAAACAATTGGTTTTTATAATTTTAGAACTGTTATGCCGTACGTAAGATATTTTATGCTTGTTAAATCAAACTTTTAAAACTGGTAAATTTACTGGATGAGAAATTAGGTTTATATCAAGACTGTTTACAATATTCCAGCCATGGGCTGGATAGCATTGATGGAACTGGTTCTCATAAACAGTCTGCTCTGAGCGCACGTCTCTGGATAACATATTTTTAATCTTCAGGAGATCGTCTGACCACCTTCAGGAGAAAACTACTGACGGAGGCTAAAAAGTTGGTTACCCTCTACACCCACACTACTTCCTTCCTCCCAGGTTAGTACTGGGGCTGGAAAGGCTGAAGTGGTTGGGGGCTTAAATATTCAATGAACAAATTGACTCTGTGCTTTAATACCCTTTTTACTTGAATCTTAAACATTCATGATCTCGTTTTAGTATCTCAATCAAATTTGGCAATGCTGAGAAACTGACTGAATTGTATTCATAAGAAAACCTTTTTCTATAGTTCTGAACATATTAAGTTACAGCAATTCTTAATTAACCTCTTCCCTCAGTAGATAAGAACAGAACAGAAGAGGCAGCGAGGGGCAAGGTAGCTGCCGCCAGTGTGGTTGGCAGCAGTGGTAGTGGACAACCTAGACCTAAAAGGGATCACCCACTTGACCTACCACTCTACAAGGGCCACAACGGTGAGTAGTATAGAGGTCAAACCTAATTTCATAGGATTATCTACTCTCCTGAGCTTTAAGTAAATTTTCCTACAGGTATGCTAGTGCTGGAGACTATAGAAGGCGTAGCCAACCTTCCGGTGAACGGGTCTCTATCTCTGCATATGGTGATGTGGCGCGGCAATATGATTTTAGCTATAATAGACTCTGACCTTAACCTCAAGCTCTTCACAATGGACCCTCAAACGCTAGAGGTAAGAATCTCTAAGCTCCTAAGAAACTGCATAGATAGTACAAAGTCTGGTTGGTGGACTTTCATGTATATATATTTTTTCAGATGCATGTCTTTCCGAGTACAAATATCAGTTTTGAGATCTGGAGGATAATCATTTAGGCAACCAAAATTTGCTTGCTTGTTCATCATTAGTTTAATGCTTTGGTTTAACAGAAAAAGCTGGTGTTAACAATGTCCGGGAGACTGAAGTGTAAAATGGCAAAAGTGTCGACGGACAACCTGCTTTTGGTGTGCATCACGCGCGAAGTTCCCCAAAAGTTGGCGAAGTCACGCACTATTGAGGAGGTGACAGTTTACCTCCTGAGGGAGGCAGAACCCGGGGGCACGAACCTGTCTGTTGATTTCCTGCAGAGTATCCCCACCCACAGCCCCTCCGACGTACATGTGTGGTGAGTACCCATGCTAGTAAGTCAGGCTAGCACACGAAAACCACATAAGCAAAATATGAAATTAATTTTACTATTAGTTTGTTACATCTGGAAGTATCTTAAGTGCATACACTAATTTTAATTAAATTGCTGTAAAAGATTTGTATAAAATGGATGTAGGAGACTTTTAAAAGTAAAGCTGTCACTTAATGTTTTTAAAACGACGGCTTAGGGGTGATTAGCTTGCCGGAAATATTTTAATTTTTAGTGAAATCGAATTTACTGATGTCACGTGAAATGGATTCTACTTGGTAAGTCATCGAATAAACTATCTACCCTTTCAGCCTTTCCCCTCCCCCCCTCCCTCCAAAATAATAAGTATTAATCACCAAGTCCTGGGTTTGGGAGACGTGTATGCTCAAGTTTCCATAACCTCTCCTCACCTATTATCCTTGTTGTGGATGGCATCCAGGAGGGAAGCGCTTAGAAAACATGTTCTGCTGGAACTGTACAAGGAAACGTATGTAATGTTTAACATTGGTAAATGTCTGCAGTTTTACATAAATTTCTGGTTCGATCTAAACCAGTGTTAGACATGGCTTGTGATATTATTTACATAGACAAATCTTTGTGCTTTTAGGAGCCAAGAAGAGAGCTGGTATATGATGGTTACTGAAGCAATGCTAAAGAGGGCTAGTGATAAAATCTCCCTGAGTGTCAACAACCACAAGACTACCACATTCTCCCATCATGGACTACAGTCCCACTACTCTCACCCTCTTCCACCCTTCCGTACAACCACCACCTATCACACCACTTCTAGCATCTACCGCTGGACTGGCCAGTACTTCGACATGATCCACAAGCTACCAGGCACCTACCCAACGTCAGTTCTCCACTTCAAAACCAAGAACCTTAATTTCATTGCTATGGCCAACTTCATGAATAATAAAGGTAAAAATGCAGAACACTCGTTGGCATTAGATACAAAAATAAATTAAATATCGGAAAGTTTTAAATTGAAATAAATTAAACAGCTTTGAGATTTGTGGAACTTTTTTTTTTTTTTTTTTTTTTAGTCGAAATACTAATTAAAATTATCCTATAGAATTCTCTGGCTAAGATAGGTTACTGCGAGTCTCAAAATCGGGCCTCTTATTAGCATGTGCTGCCGGTGCCTCGTGACTGGATCCTCTTTTGTTTTACAGCCGTGTAGGGCATTATGGGAGTAATTGATACTTTGGCATCTAAATGTAAAAACTAAGGAAAACACTAAATATAAGTGAAATGTAATTAGATATAGGTGTAAAAGGTGTATCTTAAAAGAACGCTGACATAATCTTTAATTAAAAAATTTCCTTCACGCGGTCAGCAGTGTTTGTCATGATCACCGGCACCGTCAAACCTTCACATTTCGTAGAGTACTTATCAGATCTCTTAATTGACTATTACTAAAGCCACACAATTTTGTTGCTTATTTTTAATTTAAAAATCTTAGACATTTAGGGCAAGTTTTAGATTCTTTGAAGTTTGAGTTAATTGATGATGGCTATTTTAATTTGGTATGTTTACTAGAGTAGTTATATTTTTTGTACATTTATGCTTAAGAACTGTTATCGTTGTGCTACATTAATTTAGATGCGAAGTTGCCTAAAGAATTTCCAAATTTTCAATCGAGCTTCTAATAGATCTTGTATGCACGCAAGGACAGGCTTGAAGAATGCATCCACTAAAGATTAAAAGTTTATAATGGTTTTGGCAATTTATTAATGGTTTCAGGGGAGCACAACTGCTACAGTTACATCTTCCACCACTCCCTGGACATGGAACGCTACGAGCTTCACCAGCAGGTGTTTACAATGGGAGCTTTGAACTTTGAGGCCTTCACTCTGGGCAGTGGACTAGACCCACACACCTACCTCGCCGTAGCTAACTCCTGCGAGGATGTTAACGATGGGTTGGGTAAGTAACGATTAACATTGTTTGAATAATGGTGAATACATATTTATCTTGGTTCTCCAGCAACTGTTATCGAGGTTCTTAAGAGCTCTTGGTCAAAGGCATTAGAAGTATTCTTGGCTTACTTACTCTAGAGTATTTCATTACCCAATCGCTGTTTAACCCCTTTATGGTTTAGCGATCAAAAATTAATATAATCGGGCTCTGCCCAATTAAACCATACCAATTATTTAATTAGTACGTTCCAAAATACCACTGCAAATACCAAATATTTATTCATTTAAGTTATAAGGGAAACTTTTTTTACAGGAAGATGCAACCCTTATACACGTTCGAGGATCTATCGCTTTTATAATGGAAAGTTCGTACTCTTCCAGGAGATCCCCACCGCTCACGCTGTTCAGTGGCTAGCTATCCAGGTACGCTCTTGTCTACTGATCTTAGTAAAACGTTAAGTGTTTTAGGCTCCTGACGTAAGGTATTCGTATTGATGAAACAGACCTACACGTGTTTTTGCTCGTCTCTATGAACTCTTTCCATAAATGCTCGCACTGTGTTTTTACCCAATCCCCTACAAAGTAGTTACCATTAACCCTCGTTATATAAGAGGTCTTGACATGAATGTTGGTAATGGGGGAGAGATTGAGGGAGAAGAGGGTTAAAAGTGAAGAGTACAGATTAAGAAATTTATTGGAACTTCTCCGGTACAAAGTTGATAATTTATAACTGTTTTGTGATTAAATTTCCTTACCCTAGGTAACATTTTAAGGGAATACACTGGTTCACAGGAAACGTTAGTACTTACTAACGTTAGTACTTGTTTCTTAATTAAAAATTGAGGTTAAAGGCTAGTTAAAATGTCGCATCACGTAATCTAGCTTAAAACTGCCTATTCGTGCCAATACTTCAATGCACCTTTATCCAGTAAGCGTTATAAAGGTAATTAAAGTTGCCCAATGTCTTTTATAAAAAAGTTTCTGTGAAGAGCTTTAAAATCTTGCTGTGCCAAGTTGCTTTTCACTTTTCAACAAACTGGCCGTATCCCACAGGCAGGGTAACCCAAAGAAAAAAAAAGTTTATCCTTGTAAACTTAATATATACAGAAGAGGTTACTAGTCCCATGTTCCCGACATCATAGTCGCCTCTTAAGACACGGATGGCTCACGGAGGAAGAATTGTTCCACTTCCCCATTTAGATAAGACGAAATAACAAAAAAAAAACTGGTAATACAATAGGAAAGTCGTTCTCGCTCTCTATCGTTCTCGCTCTCTATCGTTCTCGCTCTCTATCGTTCTCGCTCTCTATCGTTCTCGCTCTCTATCGTTCTCGCTTCTATCGTTCTCGCTCTCTATCGTTCTCCTCTCTATCGTTCTCGCTCTCTATCGTTCTCGCTCTCTATCGTTCTCGCTCTCTATCGTTCTCGCTCTCTATCGTTCTCGCTCTCTATCGTTCTCGCTTTTCTATCGTTCTCGCTCTCTATCGTTCTCGCTCTCTATCGTTCTCGCTCTCTATCGTTCTCGCTCTCTATCGTTCTCGCTCTCTATCGTTCTCGCTCTCTATCGTTCTCGCCTCTCTATCGTTCTCGCTCTCTATCGTTCTCGCTCTCTATCGTTCTCGCTCTCTATCGTTCTCGCTCTCTATCGTTCTCGCTCTCTATCGTTCTCGCTCTCTATCGTTCTCGCTCTCTATCGTTCTCGCTCTCTATCGTTCTCGCTCTCTATCGTTCTCGCTCTCTATCGTTCTCGCTCTCTAATCGTTCTCGCTCTCTATCGTTCTCGCTCTCTATCGTTCTCGCTCTCTATCGTTCTCGCTCTCTATCGTTCTCGCTCTCTATCGTTCTCGCTCTCTATCGTTCTCGCTCTCTTATCGTTCTCGCTCTCTATCGTTCTCGCTCTCTATCGTTCTCTCTCTCTATGTTCTCTCTCTCTATCGTTCTCTCTCTCTTCTCTCTCTCTTCTTCTCTCTCTCTTCTCTCTCTCTCTTCTCTCTCCTCTCTTCTCTCTCTCTCTCTCTCTCTCTCTTCTCTCTCTCTCTTCTCTTCTCTCTCTTCTCTCTCTCTTTCTCTTCTCTCTTCTCTCTCTTCTCTCTCTCTTCTCTCTCTCTCTTTCTCTTCTCTCTCTTCTCTCTCTCTCTTCTCTCTCTCTCTTCTCTCTCTCTCTTCTCTCTCTCTCTTCTTCTCTCTTCTCTCTCTCTCTTCTCTCTCTCTCTTCTCTCTCTTCTCTTCTCTCTTCTCTCTCTCTTCTTCTTCTCTCTCTTCTTCTCTCTCTCTCTCTTTTCTCTCTTCTTCTTCTCTTCTCTCTTTCTCTCTCTCTTCTCTTCTTCTCTCTCTTCTCTTCTCTCTCTTCTCTCTCTTCTTCTTCTCTCTCTCTTCTTCTTCTTCTCTCTCTTCTTCTCTCTCTCTCTCTTCTCTCTCTCTCTTTCTTCTCTCTCTCTTCTTCTTCTCTCTCTCTCTTCTTCTCTCTCTCTCTCTCTTCTCTCTCTCTTCTTCTCTCTCTCTTCTTCTCTCTCTCTCTTCTTCTCTCTCTCTCTTCTTCTCTCTCTCTCTTCTTCTCTCTCTCTTCTTCTCTTCTCTCTCTTCTTCTCTCTCTCTCTTCTTTCTCTCTCTCTTCTTCTCTCTCTCTCTTCTTCTCTCTCTCTCTTTTCTCTTCTTCTCTTTTCAAGTCTAAGTCTCTCTCTTCTCGTTTCTTCTCTTGATTCCTCTTTTCACTCTTTCCTCTCGCTCTCTCTCGATCTTTTTGTTTTTTTAACACAGGGTTTGACAAGGTAAGGGCATGCCTAGCCTTTGACAGCTTATTTACAGGTTAAGGATTCTAACTTTATTGGCCAAGCTAAGAGCTGTTACTACATCGCTCATTTGAAAGCATTTTTATTGTTATGAGACATACAAGTAGGAAACAGGATGAAGATGGAGCCATCTGTGGGCCAGCATTTTCATTTGATCAACTGACTTTATCTCATTGACATCATTATCCTGTACGAATGTGTTCCATACTCGAGTCATCCTGGGTATGTATGATCTCAGATGGCATAAAAGCTTGTTTCACGCTGTCCTCGAAGTGGATCCAAGTGTGGTATTTTGACAATATTGGCCTTGTACATAACAGTAAGGCCACCCACATCCCTCCTATGTTGAAGGCTCTGCTGAAATGACAGATATATCCAGGATGGGTCCAGGCGAGAGATGAGACGTCTTGCTCTGTTCTCTACGCTGTCAAGCAGTCGCAGATGAGAGAGGGGGAAGGCAAACCAAGAAAGTGGAGCATACTCAAGGTGCGAGCGTACTTGTGCCTCGTACAGGATCTTGCAACCCCTACTGCCAAGCAGATGCGAGATACGGCGAAGTGCTGTAAGCTTCCAGGCTCCCTTGTTTGTAAGATTTACAACATGGTTCTTCATGGTTAGTTTGGAGTCAAATTTCACCCCAAGGATATCAACTTCTCCAGGTGCCAACACCCTCCCATTCATCCTTACTACTGCACCAGCATTACCATCATAGTGCCTAGAGACGATCATCATTTGCGTTTTCTCAGGTGCAAATGTTACTTGCCATCTATTTCCCCAAGCTGATATAGCTCTCAGCTGGTGATTGATGTAGCTTAGAGCAGCTGGCATTTCTTCTCTTGGATAAGTGAATGTCAGTGTACAGTCGTCTGCATATGCATGTGATTCTGGGATGAGATGAAGAAGGTCGTTGAAGTAGACATTCCATAACAATGGACCCAGCACGCTTCCTTGTGGAACACTTGCCCAATAGGATGTCTTGCTGATTCCGTTCCATTGAGAACTACACTTTGAGATCTACCATGAAGGTAATCACTGAGGAGACATAGCGTAGAGCCTGCAATTCCCAGTGCTTGAAGTTTTGCTAAGAGGCCCTGGTGCCACACCCGGTCGAAAGCGCCACCAATGTCCAGTGCTACCACACAGCTGACTTTGGATTCATCCAGTGACTGGTGCCACTTAGTGGAGAGGTTTAACAACAGATCAGCAGCAGAGTAACCTTTCCTGAAGCCATATTGACGATCACCAAGTAGTGAGTGGTAGTCAAAAAACTGTCATTAGTCTTGAGATTGTCTCAAGGATCTTACCAGTGATTGACAGGAGTGACACTGGTCTGTAGTTGCTGATTTCTGCTCTGCTCTTATTTTTGTGAACAGGGACTATATTGGCCTCTTTCCATAGAGAGGGCCATTTACACTGTACTAGGCAGTGCTGAAAGATGCGAGTTAGAGGTGCTGCTAGCTGGTCTGCACATCTTCTCAACAATCTTGGGCTCAACTTGTCTGGGCCCACAGCCTTTTCTTGGTCAAGCGATTTAAGTAGGAAATGCACCTCCTGTCTTACAGTCACCACTGACAGTTTTGACACAGTTCTTGCAGCTAGCCAAGGAGGGTCCCTTGCTGGATCAGGAACTTGCATTTTGGTAGCAAAGTGTTCAGCAAAGAGGTCCACCTTCTCTTGACTACTAGTAGAGGTGGTCCCATCCTGTCGATTTAGAGGTGGAATAAGTTCCTCAGGCAGATAACCTTGTCTGTCCTTGACCAGGGACCACCAGGTTTTGGAGCCTACCCTACCTGATGCTAACTTTCTTTTAGTGTCCACCTCCCATTTAGCAATGGCCCACTTTTGAACATCACCCATATGCCTACTGGCTTGCATGTGCAAGTTCCTGTTATAGGTGGTAGGATGTCTTATACCTTCGCCATGCTTTGTACTTAGCAGTAGTAGCCTCTCTACAACGAAAGCCAAACCAAGGCTGATCTGTATGCTTCGTCACATATTGCCGGTGAGGAATGTGTTCTTGTTGTAGATTAAGGATGTGTCCAGTGAAGGCTTTCACTTGGTTGTCAACATACCTTTGGAGAAGAGTATTCCAGTCGGTGGTGGCGAGCTCAGAGCAAAGGGCTGGCCAATTACCTCTTTCCCATAGCCAGGTTGTGCGTGTGGACTCCTCACCTCGTTCTGTTGGGATCTTAAGTGTCGTAAAAACAGACTTGTGGTCAGACGATCCAACGTAGCCGAGGGGTTGACAAGTGACTATGCCTTCTGCCAGATCACTCACTACTGGGTCAAGGGAGGAGCCAGAGATATGAGTAGGGAAATCAACAAAGTTTCTCATGTCAAACACTGCAAGAAGGTCATCAAAGTCCCTCTGTATAAGGTGCTGGTTGAGGTCACCAACAATTATAATATGTTGACAGTTGTGTTGTAGCAGAAGGGAGTCAATATTTTCCATTAGGAAGTTGATAGGGTCTGCATGTTGCCACTGAGGTCTGTACATTGCACATGCTAGTACAGAGGTACTAGTGTTTATACAGAGCTTGAAGAACATCATTTCAAGATGTGTAGGGGTGGCAACGTCAATGTGCTGGGCATGAACACTTTTAGAGAAGCACACAGCAACACCTCCTCCTTGCC